CGGTTCTGGCGTCCACGCCGCGCTGCCGGGGCGCCCGAGGCGACCCCAGCGCCCGGGCTGCACCTGCGGCCGCACAGTTTGAGTGCGGCGGCCTTCCCCCGCGACGCCTGTGGCTGGACGAGGCTGAGGCGGGCCGAGCGGGTCCGCAGTAGAGCTCCTTGGCGGGTTTTAACATTGCCCAAGGGCTGGCCACATGCGGCCTCTCGAGTCTCAGGCTTTCTCGGAACAGGGATGAGGGGGCCAGGGTCCTCATGATGGTAGGCTCATGGGTTCGCCTGGGCTGCTCGGCCCGGGCCACCACCCAGCACATGTTGAGGCTCGGCTTCCGTGGCGCTTGGAGGTGTACTCGGGAACTGTGGACTTTTCTTTGCTCCCTCCATCACTGGTTACAGCTGATGGTGGGAGAGGAACAGGGAGTAAGAAGGCAGAGACAGGTAACTCATCCTTTGAAAAGATCTCCCAGGAGAGTAATACCGGCCTGTCTTGACAACCGTTTTCCTGCCCATTTCTCAGGCAGGACTGCTAGAACTTTATGGCTAGGGAGGGGTGGGAGCCCAGACCGCTTATGACTCAGTAACTGATTGCAGGAGCATTATTAGCCCTTGAAGCTTTAATCTGGAACATTTAAGACAGCACATGCATTAAACTGCCCAGCCTAATGAATAAACAGTTTGAGTGTGCATGCTCGAAGCCCCATCCCCTCCCTCTACTCCACTAGACTGGCTTGTCTTTGACTTTGTTTCTGGGTGCATTAACAGCTGTGTCACTTGTCAGGCACAGTTGGTCCTGTGAGGTACTGAAGCATAATACTCTGGCACATTGAGTCTAGCTTTTGACATGTTGGACTGCACTTTTGATATAGGCGGAGCTAGATAAGGCTTAGCAAGGCCCCAATTAACTGATCTATCTGAAAAGACATGTGGTTACTTTCTACTTCATTGGAAAATGTAGCAAATTACTGAGTATTCCAAATGTAACCTTTGAAACATGGTTAATTTTCAGACCAAATACACACTGATAGATGAGCAAGACATACCGTTGGTGGAGAGCTACTCCTTTGAGGTAAGAATGGCCAGTCCTTCCAGATTGCTTCTGGTTGATTGCTTTTGGTTGGTTTGGGGGAAGCATCATGAAAAACGAGTTTCCTTCCCAGTTCAGGGAGAATAAAGCGACAGTCACTGATGCCTGTGAGCCCTCATCCCAAAAGCAGATCTGGCAACCTGACCACTGCTGCCTAGTAGAGCCCACCATAGCTTCTCTTCACCCTGATTGCTGGGTCTTTGTTGTATTTACAGTTAGATGTTTGTTAAACTACATGAACAGACTTCTGAGGCTGTAGCTCTTCAGCCTCTGCACCATGTGGGGTCCTTTTTACCTTTCCCAGCATTCTCAGTGAGGAACTGCTGTCTACTGCCCCTCTGCTTCTCCCTTCAGCAGCCTCCACATCCAACAGTTAGTTGCATTCTGCATCTCCATCTCAGTGCCTCACACTTCATAGCTGCTACATATTCAGGACTTCCTTTTATTTTTTTTTTGAGACAGGGTCTCCCTGTAGCTCCAGCTGGCCTGGAACTCACTATGTAGACAGGGCTGACCTTGAGATGCACCTGCCTCTGCCTCCTGAGTGCTGGGATTAAAGGCTTGTGCCACCATGCCCTGGGAGAGTTACTTTTTAAATATTTTATTATTTTTATTTTTTTATGTGTGAGAGTGTTAACGCCTGCACCCGTGTCGTACACAGAGGACAGAGGAGGCTGTTGGATCCCCTGGAACTGGAGTTATGGACAGTTGTTAGCTGCCATGTGGGTGCTAGGATTCTAACCTGGGTCTTCTGCAAGAACAGTCAGTGTTCTTAACTGCTGAGCCATCTCTCCAGCCCTGAGTTAGAGATTTTTTAATGGACCTAGTCTGTGCTCTTTTTCAGGCTCGAATGGAAGTGGATGCGGATGGAAATGGTGCTAAGATATTCGCCTATGCCTTTGACAAAAACCGAGGAAGAGGCTCTGGTAGGCTTCTTCATGAGCTGCTGTGGTAGGTATTTCCAGCTGATATGTCTCCTACTTGAGCCGTGTTGTGAGCTGTGATAGGCACGGAGTGCCTAAAGGAGCATCCTGCCTAATGGAATTGGATTCAACCTTACCTTCCCTGAGTCTGGGAGTTAATTTTTTTTTTTTTAATTATTATTATTAATATTATTACCTCTTTGGTCTTTTTGAGACAGGGTCTCCCTGTAGCCCCAGCTGTCCTGGAACTCACTATGTAGATCAGGCTGACTTGAACTCACAGAGATCCGCTTGCCTCTGCCTGCCTCCCGAGTGCTGGGATTAAAGGCATGTGCTACCATGCCTGGCTTTATTTTATGTGTATGCCTGTACTGCCTGCATGTAGGTAAGTGCACCTGTGTCGTGCAATGCCTGCAGAGGTCAGAAAAGGCTGTTGGATCCCCTGGGACTGGAGTTATGGACAGTTGTTAGCTCCTATATGGGTGCTGGGATTCGAACCTCGGTCTTCTGCAAAAACGACCAGTGTTCTTAACCGCTGAGCCATCTCTCCAGCTCGGGAGTTTTTTTTATATATTTTTATATTATGTTTATGAGTGTATTGCCTACACGTGTATAAGTTCACCCATGTTGTGCAATGCCCATGAAGGTTAGAAGGCATTGCAGACCCCTGGAACTGGAGTTACAGATGGTCGTTAGCTGCTGTGTAGGTGCTAGGAATCAAATCTGGGGTCCTCTGCAAGTGCAGTCAGTGCTCTTTACTGCTGAGCCATTTCTAGCCCCTTGGGAGTTAATTTAATGTATTTTGCCACTAACTCTAGGAATGTAAAAAAATTATGGTACTTTAAACATCTAGTGGGATTCTGCTGAGCCTGGGCTTTCTGGATGAAGGGGATTCTGCTCTCTGAGCCTGCTGGTGAGACACAGGTTGCCATCTTAAGAAATGGACCATTGATCCTTGCTGTGTGAGGGGATCTGAAATGTTGGGACAATCCAGATGGGGAGTCTCAAGGCTCTTTTGGTGGTCTTTTGGGTTCCATCCTTTGTTCTCTGAGCCAAGTCTTTAAATCCAGGGGTAGATTAACCTGGTCCCTGTCTGTGTAGGTCACAGACTGATATACTTGATTTCCTCTTGGTGTGCCTTTTCAGTTCAGACCACATGGTTGAACAGTCATACCTAAGTAGAAGTACCTCTGGGTCAGAGGCAACACTTAACGAAAGTTATCTTTCACTAGGGAACGACACAGGGGAGGTGTCGCTCCCGGGTTTCAGGTTGTACATCTCAATGCTGTGACTGTCGACAATCGTCTGGACAACCTACAGCTAGTGCCGTGGGGCTGGCGGCCCAAAGCTGAAGAGACTTCCAGCAAACAAAGGTGGGTTTTTCCTGGCCAGCATCCTCTCTCGGTGTTTTGCATCAGAAAAACCAACCACGTTCCTGCTCTGTATTTTGATGCCTCTGAGTGCTTTGGGACTTGGATTGTATCCTCAATGTGTGGGGTTGTCTTCGTGGGAGAGGGAAAATATCTTTGGATTATTTTGGGGGATTGATTCTGTGTTGATTTGCTCTAGGAACATTTGCTCTAGGAACATTTTAGCTGATGGGATGGATGGAGTGAGACCACACTTCATATGAATGTTTTGCCTTCGTGAATTAAAGTGCACCTGCATTGCCCGATGAGGTCAGAAAAGGGTGTTAGATCTGGAACTGGAGTACAGGCAGTTCTGAACTGCCATGTGGGTGCTGGGAACTGAACCTGAGTCCTTTAAATAAATCCTTTTTTTTTTTTTAATATTTTTTTATTTATTTTTATTTTATGTGTATGAGTGTATTGCCTGCATGTATGTACAATGCTGCAGAGGTTAGAAAAGGGCATCAGATTCCCCTGGAACTGGAGTTAAGGATGGTTCATAGCCACCCTATGGGTGCTGGGAATCAAACCCGGGTCCTCTGCAAGAGCAGTCAGGGCTCTTAACCGCTGAGCCATCTCTCCAGCCTCCTTTTTTCTTTTTAGACAGGGTCTCACAATGTAGCTCTGGGTTACAGGTACACATGTGGCTAAGCCTGGTTTTTTACATGAGTACTGGCATCTGAACTCAGGTCTTCTTCATTTCTCCAGCTCAAATGTCCTTTTCTTAGCTTGGCATTGTGGGGTTTTAGAACCCAATAAAGGGGTTGGAGAGATGGCTCAGCGGTTAAGACCACTGGCTACTCTTGTAAAGGACTTGGATTTGGTTCCCAGCACCCACAGGGTAGCTTACCACTGTCTGAAACTCCAGTTCCAGGGGATTTGATGCCTCTTCCGGACTTAACAGGCATTGTACAACATGAATGCAGTTATATATAGACAAGACAACACTCATGCACATTAAAAAGTTAAAAATAAAAAATTTAAGTGTTAGGAGATCAGCTGGGCATGGTGGCGCATGTCTTTAATCCCAACGCTGGGGAGGCAGAGGCAGGCTGATCTATGTAGCAAGTTCCAGGCCAGCTGGGGCTATAGGGAAACCCTGTCTCAAAACAAAACAAAAATTGGAGATAGTGATAACCTGTCTCAAAAAAACAATGAATTTAGTCTTTTTGTACAAGGTCAGGATCTAGGCCTGGAGTGACACTGACCTGACTTGAGTGGGCCTGATGGAAGTTCCTGATAACCTGGCTGTGTGTCCTGGCTCCGGAGGCTTGTGGCCTCCATGTGGGCTAGTTCTTGATGGTGGGTTCATCCAGGCTTTGTCAGGGTAGGGGTAGGGCACTGGCTTCTTCCAGGTTTGTGTTTGGTTCTACTTTCCTGACACTGGTCAGTGTAAGGCTGTGTGTGGGTTAGGGTTAGCCACTAAAGGGGCTACATTTCCCGCCTTCAGAGGGATGAACCTGAGCTTTGCTTATCTTGTAGCATGGCAGGGCTTAGCTAAGAAGCAGCCAGCATCTGTTCACATGCTGTGACCAACCCTTCCCTTTGAATTTTTTTTTTTGGTCTTCTTGAGACAGGGTCTCCCTGTAGCCCCAGCTGTCCTGGAACTCACTATGTGAACCAGGCTGGCCTTGAACTCACAGAGATCTGCCTGCCTCTGCGTCCGGAGTGCTGGGACTAAAGGTGTGCGCCACCACACCCGGCCCCTTTGATTTTTGTGTGACATTATCTTGTTTTGTTTGTTGTTGTGGGGGCTTTTTTTTTTTCTGTTCTTTTTTGAGACAGGGTTTCCCTATAGCCCCAGCTGACCTGGATGGCCTCAGTCTCACAGAGATCTGCTTGCCTCTGCCTCCCAAGTGCTGGGACTAAAAGGCGTGCACCAACACACCTGGCTCACATTGTCTTGATATATAGCCCTGACTGTTCTCAAAGTTATGGTAATCCGCCTTCCTCATGCTCTCAAGCATGAGCCACTACACCCAGCTCCTTCCCTCTTTCTAACCATAGGGCTAACTGTGCTCTCATGATCTGCTCTCACATGAGAACAGGTTGGTTGTTCAGCTTAGCTAAGCAGCCCCTGTGGAGAACCCCACCATGCCTCTTTAAATCTCTGCTGGAAGCTGTTGTGTGCATGTCTGGGCAGCCCGAAGTCATATTGGTGCCTTCCTCACACAACATGTGTCTCCAACATCAGTTCTTGCTGTAACTGAGTTGTTTCTGGCTCACTTATGAAGGAGGGGTTTCTAGAGAGTTCAGAGCAGCTGACATCAAAGGGATATAGAAGGTAGACGGGGTAGAGGTGGGTGCTTCCTAGGGTTGATGTGGTCTGACCAGAGTACACTGAGGCCTCTGCTTTCTTTCAGGGAGCAAAGCTTATACTGGCTCGCAATCCAGCAGCTTCCCACAGACCCTATAGAAGAGCAGTTCCCTGTCCTTAATGTGACCCGGTATTATAATGCCAATGGGGATGTGGTGGAAGAGGAGGAGAATTCCTGTACCTACTATGAGTGTCATTACCCTCCCTGCACAGTGATTGAGAAGCAGGTATAGTATACTATTCTGAGATCTGCTATCCAGCAGTCTGGGTGTGACATGGAAGCATTCCTGTAGACCCCGGGTACCACTGGGTTCTCACTAGAGTGACTCCTCCTTTGCTGCTATACATGTCCAGGCATGGCCTAGGCCCTCCAGCCACAGTGCCTGCTTTTTTGGCGGGGAGGGTATGTGTGGGTATCTGATTTGAAACAGGGTCTTTATTTTTGGTCTTTTTGAGGCGGTCTCCCTATAGCCCCAGCTGGCTGGCCTGAATTCACTATGTAGACGGCCCATTGTGTAGCTCAGGCTGGTCCAGAATTTACCATAATTCTCCTTTGTCAGATTTTCTACTGCTGGGATTATGGGAGTGAGCCGCTATGTCTGGCCTTTTTTTTTTTTTTTTTTTTTTTTTTGGAGATTTGGGGTATAGGCAGTGCTGGGGATGAGTCCAGGGCCTTGCATATGTACTACCTGCTGAGCAATATTCCCAGCACAATTCATAGGGATTTGTTGGGTCCTTCCAGATGCTGAGATGTGGTTTCTGCCATACACTGCTGCACAGTGTGACACTGAAGCTACAGTGTTCTGTTTTGCAGCTTCGTGAGTTCAACATCTGTGGGCGCTGCCAGGTGGCCCGGTACTGTGGCTCTCAGTGCCAGCAGAAGGACTGGCCTGCCCATAAGAAGCACTGTCGGGAGAGGAAGCGTCCCTTCCAGCATGAGCTTGAGCCAGAGCGATGACGGGCTGAAGAGGTGCCACTGCCTCAGGTTCAAGGCTTCCAGCTCTTCATGGGCACAGCGGAAGACAGACTGGCAGTTGAATCTGGAGGTGCCAAAGAAGCCAGTAGCGGGTCCAGAACAGCTGCCTTGAGACCTCACAGTATATGCAGCCTGTGAGGATCAGTGCCCCTCCAGTGTTCATCTCCAGCAAAGACAACAGGGAGGCTCCCCAGGACCTTTCTCATTATTTATATGTTAATATGTTTGTAAACTCATGTACAGTTTTTTTTGGGGGGAGGCAAAGGGAGGGTTAGAAACTTCAAATAGAATCATTTGTTGTATTCCTCAAATGACAAACAGTCGCCACTCGGCTAGAGATTGTCACGTGTAGCTGAGCTCTCCTAAGCAGTGGTGGAAACCACCAAGAGACCTGCACGGGGTCGTGTCTAAACAGGCAGAGTAAAGGGGTGGAATCATCCTTGTCGTGGCCAGTCTCTGCTCCTCCACCCCTGCTCTTCAGGTTCAGCCTCAGTTTTAGGGGAACTGGTTAAATGGTGTGGAATGGGAGGACCTGTCCTCACTTCAGTTGGCCTCTGAGGAGCACAGTGCTAGCCAGAAGCACAAGGGGGCTGTCTGTTGGTAAGTGCTATGGGGTGTTCCAGTAAACTGGCTATTGTTAGTGGCTAAAGGGTGCTCTAGACCTCTTCTTTATGTTTAGGCGCAGAGACCCTGTTGGCCAGTGATAATGCTTCTGCCCCAGAAAAATCTGTAGGATGTGCCCAACAGGCCTGTGAGGTTCCACTTGTGGTTTGGAATAGATTGGGGGTGGAGGGGGAGTGCTGGGTATCCAAGGTGGAGCAAGTACCTCTTTTCTCATCCACTGCAGAACTGTACTCTCCCCGCCCCCCCCCCAACAGTTCTGACTTTGGGCAGCCACAGGTATCTAAGGGTTGATCAGCATTTTGTTCACTTACCTTGGAGGAAATGAGCCCATCTGTATGGCAGGATCTTGCCTATCTCCAGGTCTGGTTGTCTCCTGCCTCCTCTGACTGCTGACCTAGAGTGCCCCTGACCCTCTGTTGGTCAGCAGGTTTCTGCTGCCCTGTTACCTCTTGTAGCATTTCTGTCATATCCAGGATTTCCTGGGTGTGTTCATTTGTTGACTGTAAGCAGAGCTCTCTTGTTGCTGTTTTTGCTTTTTTGGTACCTAATGGCCTAGAGAAGATGATGATTGAAGCTGTCAAGACAGCACTCTCCAAGTGGTTTCTGGAGAAGTGTATGGCCCATAAAAGGTCTATACCAAGAAGCCTCCCTTTGCTGCTCTGGAGGTCATGGTCATTTTCAACTGGTGTGCTCAGATAGTTGGTTGAACATAAATGGGCTTGGGGTGCTTAGCGGGAGGGAAGCTGTATCTTGTCTAAAATGGTTGTCACAGACAGCCCCTGGCTCAAGCCCCTAATGTTTGGGACTTGAGTAATCTGGCTTCAAGTAAAGTGGCCAGGGGTGTTGGGGTAAGGCATCCTTTGTGGATTGTCATTTTGGGTCTTAGGTAATATTGATGCATGGGTCCCTGAGTCCCCTGCTTTCAAACAAAGGCAACAAAGATTCTGGAAATGAGGCATATAGACTGCAAACTGATCTTTGCTTCTATCTTCTTTGTGTGTGTGTGAGACATAGATCCTTATAGCCCCAGCTGGTCTTGGAGATCCGCCTGCCTGCCTACCTCTGCTTCTTGCTCAGACCTTTAAGAGTGCTGGGATTGCCAGGCATGGTGGAGGCAGAGGCAGGTGGATCTCTTGAGTTCCAGGCCAGCTGGGGCTACAGGGAGACCATCTCAAAGATTTAAAAAAAAAAAAGGGGGGTGGGATTAAAAGGTGTGCACCACCATGCCATGCATTTTTGCTTTTCTTTTTTTGTCTTTTTGAGGCACGGTCTCCCTATAGCCCCAGCTGGCCTGGCACTCACTATGTAGACCAGGATGGCCTTGAACTCACAGAGATCTGCCTGCCTCTGCCTCCCAAGTGCTGGAATACAGGCCAGAGGATGGGAAGGAGAGCTGGGAAAGGCTGTCTCCTAGACATGCCATAGCAGATGCATACATCAGCCTACAGCATCTGAATTTGCATGCATGAGATCAAGTCCGTCAAAACTGCAACATGGATGGGGAGGATGCTCCTGAGGCCCCACCAAGAGCTGAGGATTTATGGGCAGTTGATGGTCTCTGATGGAGAGTTACTTTTCTTTGGGGTTGTGGACATTGGTAAGTTGCCCATCCTCCAGTAAGTGGCCCATTTACATATGGTTATCACTCGCTGGACTCAGAGGGACTATTAATAATTATAACAAAATGATCACATGAACTCTGGGGAGAAATAGACTGGGGATTCTCATGGGAGTTGGAGAGAGGTAGTGAAAGTGGAAAAGATCAAAGTACATTGCATGACATTTTCAAGAATAAATTTAAGTACATTGTATGGCATTTTCAAGAATAAATTTTAAAAATGTTTTTTAAAAAGTGGTTATTTGGGGACTGGGAAGATAGGTCAATTGGAAAGTTCTAGATATGCACATGGGTTCCTGAGTTCAATTTCCATAATACATATGAAAAAGAAGATCATAGTGGTATGAATTTGTAATACCAGCACTGTACCAAGGCTATTTAAAAAAATTTGTTTATTATTTCTATTTTATGTGATTGAGTGTATTGCCTGTATGTGAGTGCACCCATGTTGTGCAATGCCTTGGAGGTCAGAAAAGGGCTTTGGAGTCCCCTGGAACTGGAGTAAAGGATGATTCATGGCTACCGTGTAGGTGCTGGGAACTGGACTCAGATCCTCTGTAAGAGCAGTCGGTGCTCTTAACCACTGAGCCATCTCTCCAGCCCGGACTCTTTAAAAAATGTGTATGAATGTATTGCCTGCATTCATGTAAGTGCAATGCCTTGGAGGTCAGAAAAGGGCTTTGGAGTCCCCTGGAACTGGAGTAAAGGATGATTCATGGCTACCGTGTAGGTGCTGGGAACTGGACTCAGATCCTCTGTAAGAGCAGTCGGTGCTCTTAACCACTGAGCCATCTCTCCAGCCCGGACTCTTTAAAAAATGTGTATGAATGTATTGCCTGCATTCATGTAAGTGCACCTGTGTCATGCAATGCTCAGGGAGGTCAGGAGAGGGAGTTGGATTCTCTGGGACAGACTGTTAGCTGCTATGTGGGTGATGGGAATCAAACCCTCTGCAAGAGCAATCTGCTCTTAACTGCTGAGCCATCTCTCCAGCTCCCACGTTGGCAATTGAACCTGTCTTTGTTCCCTGATAGCAGGCGTTGCCTTCCTTGACCCTGTAGCTCCAGCTGGCTTGGAATTCACTATGTAGGCCGGCTGGCCTTGAACTCACAGAGATCCGCTTGCTTCTGCCTCTGCCTCCGCCTCCTCTAAACCCTGTAATCCCAGAACTCTTAAAGGTCTGAGCCAGGCATGCTGGCATTAAAGGCATGTGCCACCACACCTAGCTGGGTGTAGTCAGCTTTTCATCAGAAAATTCCACTGCGCTGGGCATGGTGGCACTCGCCTTTAATCCAACACTGAGGAGGCAGAGGCAGGTGGATTTCTGTAAGTTGAAGGCCAGCCTAGTCTACATAGTGAGACCCTGTCTCAAAAAGAATTTTACTGAGCTAAGTGCCCAGGGACAGACAACTGGTCTGAATGAAGGTGATGGTGTGCAGGCTGGGCATACCTGTGAGTCCTTTCCGCATTTCTACACCTGCTGGCACAGATGTTGCTGTCCAAGTGAAAAGAAGTCAGGGAGCTCTTTTGTACCTGTTTTCCACATCTGACACTGTCCCCTGGTTTCCCCCATCTGATCATCTTAAATTCTTGGTACTTGTAGCTGTGTACCTAGGCTATTCTATGAGAGAATATTCTAGTGGTTCAGTTGTGGAGCTCAATGCTACCCTGTGTAGTGTGTTGGGCTGTTTGGCCTTGGAGCACTCTAGTGCTGGAGGGTTTGAGGGCTTCTCAGAATGCCCTGGGTGCTACCATCTGCCTCAGTTGCCAACTGGTCTGCAAGCTGTACTTCTAGCCCCGGCCCTGCTTCAGGTCCCAGGCTGGATACCCAAGAGTCCACTGACTGCTTCAACTGAGCTGCTGTAATTAAGTGCCACAAACTGGGTGAACTAAAAAACGAGAGTTGAAAGATTCATCTCAATGCTGCCAGGTCTACAGTCTTGCAGGTGCTGGAGAAAGATGATGCATGTCTCCACATCTGGTAGCCTTCTGGACTTGGAGGTGAATGGTATCAAGCTTCACAGGGCAGCCCCTCTATAGCCTCTCTTTTCAAAAATTTCCCTTAAAAAGGTGTGGTGGCATGCCTTTAACCCCAGCAAGTCCGAAGGCAGAGGCAGGTCCTAGTAAGTTCTAGGCTGGCTGGGGCTAAGGAAGAACTTGTCTAAAATTTTTTTTACATAAAACTATTGAATCAGGGCTCACCCTAGGAACTGCATTTTAGCCTGCTACTGGAAAGACCACATTTTCAAAGGTCACGTTCTGAGGTCCTGGAGGTTGACTTCAACATGCATATTTATTCGGGACACGGTTGGATCCACAAGATCTAAAACCTGGCTGGGCTTCAGCGCCCAGTTTTCTTGAGGGTTCCCTTGCCCACCGGTACCTGTCGTGGTCCTCCAGTCGGCAGGAGGCGCAGCATCTTGGCGGCCTTACCTAACCGGAAGGTCTGGGACTCGTGAGAGCCGAGAGGAGGTGCCTTCCGTGTTTTTTGGCTCTGGGCAGATGGCGGGCGCCCGGGCTCTGAGCGAGCTGCAGGCGGTGGACACCGAGCTCACTGCAGATTCGGTGGAGTGGTGCCCGCTGGAGGGTTGCCGGCACTTGCTGGCCTGCGGTACCTACCAGCTGCACGCGCCTGAAGACCAGGTACCCGGCTGTCGGGGCGGAGAGGGGCCACTGGCCTAGGACCGTGAGAGCTTATGGAAAGAGTTGAATGAGACCTCTGTTCCACGCCCACCTCTGGGAGGCTTCTGTGAGTGTCCTAAGCTAGATGCTAAAGGCTGAACTCACGGCCCTGGCACTGTAGGCTGCTCAGGACCGTTCCCGCACAGTAGCCCTGGCAGTGCTGGGTCCGGGAAACCCCCTGATAATGGAACACTTTCGGGAAAAGAGATACTTTGCCTGCGTAGAAATTTGAGGGTTTCTGCTTCCAGACAGGCCATTCTATGCCCTGGCCCTCCTTGTTGAGTTTCCGATCCCTTATGTTCTCAGTGTCTGTTAAGGTAATCAGAATATGCATATTCTGTAGGCTGCACTGGATGGCAGTGAACCTCAAGTTCGTTTGGGTCGGCTCTACCTGTACCGTTTCAATGAAGACAACGCTGTTAACCCTTTGGTTGAGGTACAGAGAAGGGATACTTCTGCCATCTTGGACATGAAATGGTACGATAGCCACACTTGATTTGGAAGCCTGATGCCCTAAGGGCCTGCAGCAAGAAACAAACTCAACTGTGGGTCTCTAATTTGCTGTTCTTGACAGTGGAAGGACCCTTGAGACAGCTCCCTGGTCAGTTTCCCAGCTCTAGACTCAGGATTAGCTTGGGAAGCAATGTGAGTTGCAGTTTTACCCACTGGAGAGCCTTTGGTTTGAAGACAGAACAGTTGGCTCTAAACTGGTTTTGGAATTGAAATTTGATAAGTCACTGGGATTCATGATGTTCCTTTAAGCTGTGGGTGCAAACTGTGTTCTGTGTTCTTCCTCAGGTGCCACATCCCAGTGGCTGGCCATGCTCTTTTAGGCTTGGCAAATGCTAATGGATCTGTACAGGTATTCTGGCTGATGGAATCTGAGGTCAGTGGTGGGCCCATCTCAGGGGGGAGTGCTGATGAGGGGGCTATGCTGATACATTTTTCTAGAATGGTCTCTTCAGTAGTAGACTTTGCCATAAATGTTCTAAGAAAGTATAGTTTTTTAAGTTGCACTGGGTTCTGGTGAGACAGGGTCACAGTGTTTCAGCAGAAGGGCTACAGGGACTGGCTTGTTTATTTATCAGTAGGTCTGGGGGTTCTGTAAGGAAAGCAGGACAAGCCTTTCTTGGGTTGCTACTGGGACTGAAAATAGCAGTGGATTTTTCATGTGGAAATGGTATTTCTTACAAATATTGGAAGAGCTTCATTCCTAAGTGATTTCTTTTTTTTTTTTTTGTCTATAAGTTTATTGCCTACACGTTTGTAAGTGCACTTGTGTCATACAGTGCCCATGGAGGTCAGAAGAGGGCATTGAATTCCCCTGGAACTGGAGTTACGAATGGCTGTTAGCTGCCATGTGGGTACTGGGACTTCTGCAAGAGCAGCCAGTGCTCTTAACCCCTGAGCCATCTCTCCAACCCTCCAAGGTGATTTTTTTTTTAACCTCCAGGGGTTAGGGTTAGCACAGTGATCCTGTGCTGTGCTTTTACAAAATGACTTCATCTAATGACTGTGGGAGGGAGGGGAAAAGGTACTTCTTGGTAGTGGAGTGACATCAACAGCCTATAGGCTGCTAAAACTGGGAGGCAGTGACATACTAAAGCTGTTGCTGTCGTGGGGCAGTGCATAGGTTCAGCACATGATTACTGGTGGCAGCTGAGAGCCTGTGTAGAAAGTCTTGCTTCAGGTCTGCTCAGAGCAGCAGCTTTGTCCTAGAAATGAGGGAAGGAGGACTAGATCCAAGGACCAGACTGGAAGGTAGGAGAACAAATATCTGAGAAAGGACTTTGGTGCAGTAGCCAAAGTCAGGTGGTTTAGATAATAAAACTAACATAGATCCTAGACAAGAGAAATAACATTTTGTTTTGTTTTTGATTTTTTTTTTTTTTTTTTTTGTGGTCTTTTTAAGACAGGGTCTCCCTATAGCCCCAGCTGTCCTGGAACTCACTACTATGTAGACCAAGTTGGCCTTGAACTCACAGAAATCCACCTGCCTCTGCCTCCTGAGTGTTGGGGCTAAAGGTGTATTGCCACCATACCCAACAAAAATAGCATTTTAATGGCTGTTTTGGCTTCTGAAGTGGAAATCAGTGGAAAGTTCTCATTTTCATAGTATCTGGAGATAAAATGGACTAGGTAGGATCCAGAAGGCACGGGGGTGGGGGGTGCAGAGCATGTCCCAGTAGTGATTTGTGGAGCTCAGTAAGGTGGCTGATGTATCTAGGAGTACACAGAGGCAAGGCTGAGAAACCCTTTTTGTCCAAAGCTCATGTATGTGGCAATGTCTTTCCAAAGGTATGAGCTCCCATGTCCTCAGTCCCAGCCCTGTGCTGGGACATATGGCTGAGGCTTACTGATGTGTGACTTAATGGCAGAGTGTTTACCTAGCATGCATGATATATTCAGCTCCATTTCCAGCACCAAAACCAAAGTTAAACAACAAAAACCCAGGTGAGCCAGAGCCTGCCTCTATTCCCAAGTATTTGGGAGCTGGGAAGAGAGGATTACTTGAGCTTGAAGCAAATTCAAGATGAGTCTGAGCAACATAAGAGCCCTTATCTTAAAAGTGGCTGATGTATTTTGCTCATATAGGGAACAGTTTAGGGAATAGAGGCTTGTCTCGACAAGGGAGTTCCTTTTCTCTCTAGTAGAATGGTTATATGCTACAGCCAGTATCCAGCCTTACCCTGGAGGAGCAGTATCTGTCCTTGTCCCTGGATTGGTCCACTGGGAAACCTGGAAGGTAAGGGCCAGATTTGATTGGAGGTCTAAGTCTCCTCTGAGGACCAATTCCTGCTTCCATGCCAGAGGAGCTTAAAAGCACCTTTTGCTAGCCTTGGTTCCCCAAACCTGGAATGTCACTGATCTTTTTTTTTCTTCTTTTTTTTTTGTTTTGTCTTTTTGAGACAGTGTCTCCCTGTTGCCCCAGCTGGCCTGAAACTTATATGTAGACCAGGCTGACCTTGAACTCACAGAGATCTGCCTGCCTCTGCCTCCCGAGGGCTGGGACTACAGGCTTGCTCCACCATGCCCAGCCTCTGTCCTAATCCATCTTAAAACAGACAATCCTAGCATTTTAGATAAGTAGTGATGATACTGTTAATAAAGAGAAGCCAAAATTATTTTCAGTGACAAACTATGTGGTAGTTTCATCCTTTGAATGATACCCAAGAAGCCTCATTGGCAACACGGCCACATGCCAGGTCTGGGAAATCTTTCCTGGGGCATGTTTGGGAACTGGAAGAAGGCGGTTGAGAACTTTGAGTGGTGGTTCATGCCTGTAAAGGCAGCACCTGGCCAGGTGTGGCGCATACCTGTAGTCCCAGGACTCAGGAGGCAGAGGCAGGCAGATCTCTGTGAGTTCAAGGCCAGTCTGGTCTACATAGTTAAGGCCAGCCAGCTGGGGCTATAGGGAGACCCTGTCTCAAAAATACCAACAAACAAAACAAACCAAAGCAGCACCTGGCAGACTGAGGCAGAAGGATTTCAAGGTCACTTGGGCTGCATGAGACCCCGTTTCAAAAAAAGCAGAAGAAAAGGGTGGCAAGTAGAGTTTAACAGGCTTTCGGTTGGCTCCCTCCTTCTAGGGCCAGAGACCAGCCCTTGAAAATCATTAGCAGTGACTCTAAGGGGCAGCTGCACCTCCTGATGGTGAATGAGGCTACAGCTGAACTTCATCCGGTGGCCTCGTGGCCAGCCCATCACTTTGAGGCCTGGATTGCTGCTTTCAATTACTGGCAGACAGAACTCGTGTATTCAGGTCAGTATTCTTGGATATCAGTGTAGTCACCTCTGATAAAAATTTGTGAAGAGGACTGGGCGTGGTGGCACATGCCTTTAATCCCAGCACTTGGGAGGCAGAGGCAGGTGCATCTCTGTGAGTTGGAGGCTAGCCTAGTCTATATAGTGAGTTCTGGTTCAGCTGGGGCTACAGGGAGATACTGTCTCAAAATGATTAAAAAAAGAAAAATTGTAAAGAACAAAGGGAGGGGCGAATGGGACTGGGCCAAAGCTATGATTCAAAGTAAATGAGGACCTAAGAAGGACTAATGGAAGGTACATCCTTTAGCCAGCAGCTATGGCTGGCACTACCCCATGGCCCTAAGGAAGTGAGTACAATTGTCTTTGGGTACCTAAGGCCTTTGGTGAAACCAGTCAGGGCTGGCAGGAGCAGGTGCTTTCATTGTGGAATCTGATCTCTTCTAATGTCCACACGATTTGCTTGCTCTTTGTTAACTTTGACATATTGATTTCAGGTTTGTCTTTTTCTGGATATAGCTTACTGTCTAAAAGGAAAGGAAGCATGAGGGAAATTGGTGAATTTTCTGACCTGTTGAGTAGTTTGTACTTTGGGGTTGCTGGTATGAGAATGAGAAATGAACAAAACTGGCCACTTTGGGCAGCCTCTCCCAGGAGGGGTTAACTCATGTAACCTGGGAAAGGCTGGCCTCAGAGAAAACTGAAGATACCAAACGTACAAAGAACCAAAGTGATAATCTGACCTCTTTTTTCCAGTTCTTGATTAGTGGTTGTGGGCCAACATCTTGGGTGAGTTGCAAGGTTGTCAGGAAGCTGGGTGACCTCATCCTGTTCTCTGGCTTCTCCACCTACCCACTTTTGCTGAGGTCTTCACTAATAACCATGACTTAGTACAGGAGCCACTTGAGCCTCTGTCCTGGATCGCATCCACACATTCAGCCTCTGTCTCCTTTTTCTACTCTGACTTACCGTGATTGCCCTTCCTCTGCTTCATTGGCTCCTTCCATTTAGACAGAAATAGTCTGTTTCATGGAGCATCATGGCCTACTCCTGTAATTCCAGCACTTGGAGGCAGAAGTAGGAGGATCAAGGTCAACACAAGTTCAAGGCCAGTCAGAACCCTAACTTAAAAAGAACAGTTTCCACTAGCTTCTGTCTAGACCCTTTCTTTAGAGTATGTTATTACTCCAATTGCTGTTTTCTAGAAAAAAAAAACCCTGTTTCTATTGTATAGTCCAGATCTTTTAAAAAAAAATTAATTTTTATTTTGTGTGTATGAGTGTATTCCCCGCACATATGTGAGTGCACCTGTGTCGTGCAGTTCCCAAGGAGGTCAGAAGGTGTCGGATCCCTTACAACTGGAGTTATGGACCGTTGATAGCTGCCATGTGAGTGCTGGCCTTCAAACCTGGGTCCTCTGCAAGAGCAGCAGTGCTCCTAACCTCTGAGCATCTCCCAGATCTTTGTTTGTTTGTTTGGGTTTTTTTTGGTCTTTTGGAGACAGGGTCTCCCTGTAGCCCAGCTGTCCTGGAACTCACTATGTAGACCAGGCTGGCCTTGAACTCACAGAGATCCACCTGCCTCTGCCTCCTGAGTGCTGGGATTAAAGGCGTGCACCACCATGGCCAGTTATATTTACTATTTTTATTTTATGTGTATGCATGTATTGCCTGCATGTAGGTTCTTATTTATTTAAAAAAAAATATTTTATAGGGGCTTGGGCTGGAGAGATGGCTCGGCGGTTAAGGACACTGGCTGTTCTTGCAGAAGACCCAGGTTCAGATCCCAGCATTCACATGGCAGCTAACAATTATCTGTAACTCCAGTTCCAGGGGATCCAATAGCCTCTTCTGTCCTCCACGGGCATTGGGGACGACACGGGTGCACTTACCTACATGCAGGCAATACACGAATACACATAAAATAAACAATAATAAAGTATTTTTTTAAAAAAAATTTTATAGGGGCTGGAGAGATGGCTCAGCGTTTAAGAACACTGATTGTTTTTGCAGAAGACCCAAGTTCAAATCCAAGCACCCACATGGCGGCTACAAACTGTCCTTAACTCCAGTTCCAGGGGAGTCCGAAGCCCTCTTCTGACCTCTGCGGTATTGCACAACATGGATGCACTTACCTACCTGTAGGCAATACATGCATACACATAAAATAAAAATAATAATCAATTAAAAAAATTTTTTTTTAGCTGGGCATGGTTGCACACGCCTTTAATCTCAGCACTTGGGAGGTAGAGGCAGGCGGATCTTTGTGAGTTCAAGGCCAGCCTGGTCTACATAGCGAGTTCCAGGACAGCTGAGGCTACAAGGAGACCCTGTTTCAAAAAGATTAAAAACAACAACAAAAAAATTTATATGCCGGGCATGGTGGCGCATGCCTTTAATCCCAGCACTCAGGAGGTAGAGGCAGGTGAGTTCAAGGGTAGTCTGGTCTGCATAACAACTTCCAGGCCAGCTGGGGCTACAGGGAGACCCTGACTCAAAAAGACCAAAAAACAGGGCGTGGTGGCACACGCCTTTAAATCCCAGCACTCCGGAGGCAGAGGCAGGCAGAGCTCTGTGATTTCCAAGCTAGCCTGGTCTCCATAGTGAATCCAGGACAGCTGGGGCTACAGGGAGACCCTGTCTCAAAAAGACCAAAAAAAAGACCAAAAGAAAAATTATTTTTATTTTATGTGTATGAGTATATTGCCTACATGCATGTAAGTGCACCTGGGTCATTTAGTGCCCTCAGAGGTTAGAAGAAGGCATCGGATCCCTTGGAACTGGGGTGTAGAAGGGTTGGTTGTTAGCTGACAAGTGGGTGCTGGGATTCAAACCCAGGTCCTCTGCCAGAACCACCAGTGCTCTTAACCACTGAGCTATCTCTCTATCCCCCACCTTATTTTTTTAAGACAGGGTCTCTTACTGGACCTGAAGCTCACCATTTCAGCTAAACTGGCTGCTGGTCAGTAAGCCACTGGATTCCCTCTGCCCCACCCCACCTCCACCCTACCCTCTGATACCCCATCACCAGCTTTTATATGGGTGGTGGGGATTTAAATTCAGGCCTTCATGCTTATGTAGCAAGCATTTTACTACTAAGCCATCTTGCCAGTCTCCAACTTTATTTTCTTACAGTATTTATTTTTGTTTTATGTGTATGAGTGTATTCCCTGCATGTGTATAAGTGCACCTGTGTCCTGCAGAGGTCAGAAGAAGGTGTCAGATCCCCTGGAACGAGTTATGGATTGTCGTTAGCTGGAATGTGGGTTCTGGAAATTGAACCTGTGTCCTGCAAGAGTAGTCAGTACTGTTAACTGCTGAGCCATCTCTCTAGCCCTTCCAACTACCTACCTACCTTCCTTCCTTCCTTCCTTCCTTCCTTCCTTCCTTCCTTCCTTCCTTCCTTCCCTCCCTCCCTCCCTTCCCTGCCTCCCTCCCTGCCTTCCTGCCTTCCGTCTCCCTCCTTCCCTGTCTCCCTGTAGCCCAGCTGGCCTGGAAATCACAGAGATCCACCTGCCTCTGCCTCCCAAGTGCTGGGATTAAAGGCTTGCTCCACCACGCCCATGCATGTGTTCTCTTGCTCTTGTCCCCTATAGTCACCTGTCCAGACCACCATCTATTCTAGTTCGTTGAAACAGCACAAGTGATGGCCCTACATCTGTTCTGGACCTTCCCAATCCAGTCTTCACTCAGAAATAAGCTTGATTGTTATAGGAACACACACACTTTATCATTCCTTGTTCATCATTAGAACCCTTTACAATTCACATTCTCCTTAGGATAAAATTAAAAATACCTGAGATTCCCAAGGCCTTGTGTGGTCTGGTCCAGCTTGCCTTTTCTGTCCTGTTCTTTTGATTGGTTTGGTTTGGTTTGGTTTGAATTGGGTCTTTTTTTTTGAGACAAGGTCTCACTATGTTTCTTTGGCTGACCTGAAACTTTCTATGTAAGATCAGACTAGCCTCAAATTCATAGAGAGCCACCTGCCTATGCCTCCCAAGTGCTTGGATTAAAGGCATGCTACCATGCTACCACCATACCCAGCTTTTTTTTTTTTTTTTGAGTGCACCTGTGTCGTGCAGTGCCTACAGAGGACAGAAGAGGGCATCAGATCCCCTGGAACTGGAGTTACGGGAAGTTGTGAGCTGCCATGTAGGTCTGAACCCAGGTCTTCTGCAAGAACAGCCAGTGCTCTTAACCATTGAGCCATCATCTCTCCAGCCCCTTGTTCCTGTTGTTAATGACTTGCGTTTGCTCCCCATTGACTTTCCTTGGGTACACCATGTGGTCTTTTTCCTCACTTCTTTGGCATACTAAGCTTAAACTTGAGAAACCTGGACACCCCCCCCCCCAGCAGTCCAGCCCATGTCTGATCTCTTACTGTTCTCATGGCACCCAGCACTCATCCTGATTCTGATTATGTGCTTGATGCCTATTTTCTTTTTCCCAGAGTAAGGTCTTTTTTTGGGTGGGGAGGTCTTTTTGAGAAAGGGTCTCCCTGTAATCCCAGCTGGCCTGGGACTCACTATGTAGACCAGGCTGGCTTTGAACTCACAGAGATTCACCTGCCTCTGCATCACAGTGCTGGGACTAAAGGTGCATGCCATTACACTCAGCATAGCAGCTCATATTTAAGGTTCACCTGGCTTTATGCATAGCTCAGCTGATTCTGCTGTTTTATTTAATTGTAGAGCACATGCTTACTCCGTGTCCTTTGTGTCCTATTACAGGGATCCATATTGTATATTCACTAAATATCTATTAGATGGGTGGATAGATGGTGGGTGCATGTTAAGTGGTGGGTGTAAAGATGTGGGATGGGTGGGGAATGGATGAATGTGACATGACAGATGAATGATGGCTGTATGGAGGGTAGATGGGTAGATGTTGGATGCTAGGTAGATTTGATGGATGGGTGGTCGTGGTTGGGTGGTGGATGTATAAATGTTGGTTAGATAGTTGGTTAGATGGAGAAATGATGGATGAATGGTAGGTGGTAGATAAAGTAGACACTGCTCAGCATTTTACCTTTGCTCTTTTTCACCCTTCTTTTGAACCCTGCTCTAGAGTCCTTTTCTGTCAGGATGCCACCATCTACCCTGTGTCTTGACACTGCTTTTCTTTAAAGATTGGTTGTAGATCAAGGTAATCTTTTCTCTGAAACCATCACAAGGATTTTTTTTTTTTTTTTTTTTTTTTTTTTTTGAGACAGGGTCTCACTACGTAGACCAGACTGGTCTTGAACTCAGAGATCCACCCACCTCTGCCTCCTGAGTGCTGGAATTAAAGGTGTGTGCCATCACGCCTGGCTAAGGGTCTTTTTAAAATTTTATTTTATGTATATGAGTGTACCTACATGTATGTAAGTCTTGTGCAGTGCCTGCAGAAGCCAGAGGAGGGGTGTTGGATCCCATGGAACTGAAGTTGTAGATGATTGTTAGCCACTGTGTAGGTGCTGGAAACCAAGCTCAGGTCCTCTGTAAGAGCAGCCAGTGCTCTTAACCACTGAGCCATCTCTCTAGTCCCTTTTTAAAAAGATTTATTTTGTGTGTATGCATATATATATATGTATGCCACATATATGCAGGTGCCTGCAGAGACCAGAAGAGAGTGTCAGATCCCCTGGAACTAGTGTTCCAGGCTGTTTTGAACCATTTGATGTGGGTGTTGGGGACTGAACTTGGGCCCTCTGCAAGGACAGTATGCCCTCTTGACTGCTGAAACATCTCCAGCCCCACAGGTCTTTTTTTTAACTGAAAGGTTGCAAAGGGCATTTTCCTTTACAGCGCATAGGAGTGTGCTGAAGGATCTAGAAGGATCTTCTGGAGTCTCAGTCTTCTGCTTTTATTGTTGCTTCTGGGCAGGAATTTTGTTTATGACCAGTTTGGCCTTGGGCAGCTAGGGGCTCTGATGACTAGAACCTTCCTAGAAGGTAGTATGGCCAAGTGTGACCCAGCAATCCTCATGATTAGGACATTGATACCACACAATTTCCAACTTTTCCTTTTTGTATTGCAGTTGTGGCCTGTTGGTCTTCCATTCTACCCAGGCCCTAGCCCCCTGCCCCCCAATTGGATAGTTAGCAAGCTTGGTGACTGTTTCTGGGGTTCTCCTGACCAGTGGTACCCTAAAGTCACAAGACAGGCACCTAAAGGACTTCCTTGTAGGTTCCCCATCATTAATGCCATTGTTGATGGAATTCTTTCTGTGTTCCCACAGGTGGAGATGACGGCCTTCTAAGAGGCTGGGACACCAGGATGCTTGGTACATCTGTCTTTACTAGCAAGAGGTAGCTGGTCTCAGGGTCAGAACATGGCCCCTCCATGTTCCTGCCTCAGACTTCTCATCCCCTACCTTGCTTGTGCTCAAGAGTCCCCCTTTGTCTACAGACACTCCATGGGTGTGTGCAGCATCCAGAGCAGCCCCCATCGGGAACATATACTAGCTACTGGAAGGTGAGTCCCTGGAGTAGATTTGCTGGTCTGTGCATTTCTCACCCCCTCTCTACGAGGACTTCAACATTCAGTGCAGAGATCTCAGATGGTCAGTTCAGTTATCTGGGTCCTGGAAGTGGGGCTTCTGTAAGTCCCTAAGGGTTTGTGGGACAGGCCTTCTGGGAGGTGTTCCCTGTTACCAGGGAATCTTGGGGGAACATGTTAGCATATGCTTTCCCTGCATGCCAATGGTTGGATGGTTCCAGCTATGATGAGCATGTTCTGCTGTGGGATACTCGGAACATGAAGCAGCCTTTGGCAGATGTGCCGGTGCAGGGAGGCGTGTGGAGGCTCAAATGGCACCCAGTCTACCACCACCTACTCCTGGCAGCCTGTATGCACAATGGCTTCAAGATCCTCAACTTCCAGAAGGACACTGGTAAGTAGAGACATCTTCCTAACCCCAGGACAGTAGTCAGCTAAGCTTTTCTCCAGCCTGCATGCTCCCAGGCCACACCTAGAACCTGCTATAGCTCCACCTGTGCCATTATTAGACCTCAGTTTGAGAAATATACTCTCATCATGGCTTCTCCATGCCCAGATCAGTCATAATGGTTCCTCCTGTATTTTGGCAGGTCTCCGACTTCACTGGGACTCTATCCAGGAGCCTTATCAGTTTTTACTCATGACCACCCTTGCCCTGCCTTTTCTTTGCTTCCTGCCTGTAAACACCTTAGACTCTGGTCACCCTATGTCTGACATGTGCTGGCTTTCCCTTGCCCCCTTTCTCATAGAATCTGGCATTGATTAAGCCCAGCTCTACCTATGGCTGAATTTCCAGGGTGTGTCTAGGAGGTCTTTGGATTTGCTTGGCTGACTACATTGTTTCTCTGGCATGAGTGCACATTGTAGGACTATTTGTCCTTTTCTCTTGCCAAGCCTCCATTCCTCCTTTCTCCCCTCATTCTCAGATCACAATCTCCCTCTATTTCCTCTCCCTCTACTCCCACTCTGAGAAGAAGCAATTGGAAGACTACCTTAGCTTCCCACCTTTAAACCTCGTAGCCTTCAGCCACTTCATGTTCTCTGCCTTCTTTTGTGACCTGGATTTTGAACATTTTGAAGCTTGTTTTCATATTTTCACAAAGGTATATAAAGGGGTTGCTCTGTGTGTGTGTGTGTGTGTGTGTGTGTGTGTGTGTGTGTGTGT